CTACTGACGTCACTGTGACGGGTAGGGTTAGGGGTGGGGTTAGGTGAGCCCATTAAAAAGCATTGGACATTAGACCCCTCTCTAGAGGGCTGACCCTCCCATACATGTTGTTTTGATGTCTTCAGGGGTATAAACCATTAATTAGGGGGGTCTCCATATAAAAACTCCTTATAAAAGTGTTTTTTGCATAAGAGGTCCCCTTTAAATGAATAATCTGAAATCTCATTTAGAAAGACTTACTTCTTTTATTACTTATTAATGCAGCTTTTTGAATTAATTAACTTGTTTAGAGTGGCTAAATGTGTCATCTACATATACATATAAGTGGACATATAAATGCATTTGTCTTCCTCATTTAAAAATGTGTAGATTTTAGCATTATTCATAGAATTTATACTTTTACACCATCATTTATACCTTTCAAAGTTTATAAAATGGTTAACAATGTACCCAGTTTGATAACCATTATATACAAAAGAACAACTGTTCTCTATCTGTCAAAAACAGATTTGAATGTTTGCAGTGTTTGTATCAAAGCTTTAATAGACATAACAAAATCCTTGTCTTTAAGAATAAATAGTTGTCTTTGAATCAAGGTTGCGTTCTATGACTGATAAACCGTGCAGCTCTATCACAAGCCACAATAGTCTAGAGTCCAGAATGATTTCATAGCAGAATTACAGCTCTTTTTCCATCTCGGCTTAGTGTGTCATCCTCCCAGTATGCCTTCTGACAGGCCTGAACACTGCGAAAACACTCCGAGCACTAATGCAAACCACATGTCATATCTCAAAATTCCCAGAATTCCCACTGGTAGGGTCGCTCAGCCCGTCAATTGTCCTGCAAAATAGGTCTCTCGTTCAGCATTCCCCGTTTACTGCCCATTCATTCAATACAAACAGTAACATCTTTGAAGGATTGATGACTCCGCCGGTTGACCCGGGGCGTTCTTTCTGGCCCTCTGCGTCAGAGATGACCAGCAACTGAACCCTCAAGTGATTATTTCAACCAGAACAGACATTAGATCCTCCAAAAAATGATGTGTAGGAGGACGCTCTTAATTCTCACATGGTTTCTGCAGTAATCTGTGAATTGGGTGTTGTAACGGATGTATGTGACCTTATTGAAGACTCAAAATGTCACAGAAGCATTTTTGCCAGTATATTTTGTCTGTCAGAGGAGCAAGGGAAAATACTAGGTCAATAAATCATTAGGAAAGTCTTCACTCAGAAAATGAAACATTATGGAAGAGTGTTTTGCCATTTGAGTCATCACTATAAACCTTTAGGTGAAATTTACAAAAAAAACTTGGAAGACTTATTTAAACATGTCTGAGACTGTGAAAAATATACACGTTGAATGCGTGTTAGTTATAATATGGAGCTAGATCAGTTTCAAAAATAATACATTTATGAAATAGAATTCATACATGCACACCAATTTGTAAATTCAAAACACAATTCATAAATACAACACAGTTTGTGAATTTATAAGTAATATTTCGCCAAATTAATTGGATTTGCATATTTATAATTCGTGTTTTGAATTTAACTTTTTTTTGCATATTTTTAATCATGTTTTGATTTTACGAATCGAATTTTGTAAATGTAAAATGTATTGTTGATGTATGAATTATATTTTGTAAATGTATGATTTTTGAGACTGATCTGGCTCCATATTATAAATGTCGGTGCTGTGAATGTTAGAAGTCGGATAATAATTTCAGAGGTAGTCGTTGATGTGAACATTAACTGGAGCTTAAACCCACAGAGCAGTAAAACAGAGACCTGTTTTAAAGGATGGTTTGAAAAAAGCCTTGTGTGCATACTTATAGTCTGAGATCAGCTTGGCCCAGCACATTCTTACTGAAACTGTGTGGACGGTGTTAAACAAATGTTTCCAATCTGGAGAAAATTCATTTAATATAAGTGGGCTTTCTTTGCTGTTTTGAACCTCTTTATAAGTGCTCACGTCTGCATTTATGTCTTTATGTGCACTGATGATCCAGCAGTCAGTATTTAAACAATTCAACTCTGTTTAAATCTGATAACGTCACATTCACTTATCAGTCTTTCTGGAACATTCTGTCATTACAAAGGCCTTTCAAACAATGAAAATGTGTATTGTACACAGTTTTTTTTAAATCACCATTAAGTAATATACTTTGCCGTCAGTACTATATTCAATGCCCAGCATAAATGAGTAGACCCCTCATTATTCTTTCTTTTAAATGTATATTTTCAATATTATGCTAGAGAATGCAATATTATATTTGTGCATTAACATTACATTAATCAGTAACAAAGCCAAGTCTAGAGCTAATCTAACAAAATACCTCAAGAGAACAGTCCAAAAATAAGTACACCCAAACTAATGTTAGTTAAATAACAATTTAAAGGTCCCAGAAAATTGTGACAAAATTCACATTTAGAAGATATAAAGATATAAACATGTAAAGCTTGTAGTTTGTCACTTCCGTCGAAATAGATCAACGGTTTTATTCATGTCTCCTCATACATCAGTTTCTCATTAAATCATCTCTCTCTCTCTCTCTCTCTCTCTCTCTCTCTCTCTCTCTCTCTCTCTCTCTCTATATATATATATATATATATATATATATATATATATATATAGTATAGTATAGTATATAATATATATATATAATATCTGACATGCCCCACCCTCTTTAACATGCTTCTCATTTGCTTTTTATTTTATGCACTTCAGCTCAACCTCTCACTGGCAGAGCGGTGATAAAACAAAATGTTATTGCCCGTTTTTAAAAAGGGGAGGAGGAGCTACATTATGACCAGCTCTCTCTTCATTTTTTCGATTGAGTATACATCAAACATAGAATAAAAATGCATATTTCAGAGCACCTCACAGACCATTAAGAATGATAAAAAAATCTAAATTTTGAGAAGAACATTTAATCAATCTTTTCAAGCAAATGAGATATGACTAACATTTTCAAATAAAATAAATCAATTCTGTAATCATGTAATTCATAAAAAATATATGTAATCCAATATAAGAAAATTTAATATGATTATGAGCATTGTAAAAGGTATAATCTAATTACAGGTACTTAATTTTTGGAATTGGATTATTTCACTACGTCATAATTATATGTAATCAGTTACTACCCAGGCGGTTCATTCCGCTGTGGCGACCTCAAATTAATAAAGGGACTAAGCCGAAAAGAAAATGAATGAATGAGTTACTACCCAGCACTATCACTGTCATTGTAGGAGAGCAGTTGACAATACTCAGTTTCCTTGGATTTATGGGTTTGAGTAAAATGTTAATATTTATTTTATCCTATAATGATCTGACCACATTTTCTCCAAACTAAAAAAAATTTAAAAAAAGTTTTTATTTGGTGTGATTGAATACTACGGTTATTCCACCAAATATTGATAACTCTTTTGAAGCAAACACACTAGTATTTGCTATGCAATAATGGATAAACATATGAAAACATTCGTTTAGCAGCTATTTAATGCAACAAAAAGTAATATAAATGACAACCTCTATTCAGGTGTTGTTACAACAGGATATTACAACTCTGTTCCTGTGCTTATGCAATCAGTTTTGCTGAGTTTTAAGACTATTTATGAAACAGACAGGGTAGGGCTCGTCTATCCTATGAGTCAATGCAGAATCAGCTTGGGAGAAAAGCATCTGCAATCCTATGTGGATCTGAACAGCCATAGTTCATCACTAAATGAAACTTCTGTCAAAATTACGAACACCTAATTTTAGTTTGAAACCCAAAAGGGAAATTTTTAACAGAATGTTGGTGCTGCACTCTTTCGACTATAGTTACACTGAGCTGTCAAGCATAAAAAAGACAACAAAACACCATAAAAACATCATAAAAGTTGTCACAGTGTTCAAAGTCTTGTATTTGACCTCTGACCATATACAAATCTGATAAATGAAAATATATGCAAATGACATTTATGACATACAAGTTCATATTTGGATTTCATTTATTTAAAACAGAAGTTATATATTCAGTATATATTTACAAAGATTGCAAAAATGGCAACCATTTCAACCATTTGAATTTCAAATACCGACCAGACAAAAATGTTGGTACACACTTTAATCTAAAAAAGAAAAACTTGAGCAGTCACTGTAGTTATTTCAAAGTGAAAAAAGTATATTTTTTCACTTTTAAAAGTATATAAAATATATAATATTACTAAAGTATATGATTAATCAAATATGACTGAAAATGAACTACTGAAAATCAGAAACTGCTCCCGAATTGTGGTTCAACAGAAGCATTAAAAAAGGCAAACTAATCAAACAGGCTTGGACAAAATTGAATGTACCAACAACTCTGACCATGTATATAACACATAAGTGACATTATATGCAATATATTTGAACATTTATGTAGGCCTACAAAACGGATCCTTTTTGTAATTTTTGGAAATATATGTTGAATATATGGCATTTTACATATTCCATCATTTTCATTCGGCTTAGTCCCTTATGTATCAGCGGAATGAACCGGCAACTATTCCAGCATATACGAAGCAGATGCCCTTCTAGCTGCAACTATTGTATATATGCAAAATTCAAATATGAACTTGTAGGCTATGTCATTAATAACGTCTATGTGGGTGATCAGACTACTTCAACTGTTTGGAAATGAGCAGTTTAGACATTAAACTATATATAATGCCTGTTGTGTTCAACCAGACACTAAAAAAAGCCTGGGGCTTTTTGGAGTGAACGGTCTCTTTAAATACAATGAATATCTGAGGGGGGAAGTGTGGACAAACCGCGTTGTGGCTGTTCCTATATAAATGCGCACTTTAATGCAACTTTTAAACGACAATCGCCACACGATGTGTGGAAACTCACTTTGTTCGTCCTCTTTTCCTCTTTCACTAGCATGATGCGCGCACACGCCCCCGTCCTGCCCTTCTTCACTCTCGGCTTCAGCGCGCGCTTAAGAGGTTTATAACAACCCTTCCGAGAGCGCGCAGATAGAACAGCTTATCCACTTACATCCAGGAATAACCTACAAGAACAATCAAGGGTTTCATCGCAGATATCAAAGGCAAGTACAAATACTTTCACCTGAAGTGTTAAATATTGTGTTTTAAGACTCACTTTGTTAAACCGAGATTTACTACTGTCTCAAATTGAGTTAAATTTGTCTCAATCTGATACACTGTCAGTGGTACGATAGAAAAATCCATTAACTTAGCTACTTTTATTGTTAAAATATGAAACACTTTAATGACTTTTCATTTAATTTCAAATGATTGAACTAAGAAACTATAGTCTAAAACTACTAGATTCAAATAGAAATTTGATAATATTTTTGTAAATGTAATTTAAAAACTAAGTAAAGATATTAATAGATCATTATGAACACCTTGTTTACTGTGTTTCTGAACATGTACTATAACTAAATTGTCATATTGCTTTGGCATTACACAAGTCAGGGTATTGACTGTCAAAAGCAAAAAAATTTAAACTTCATCTAAATTATTGTCTCATCTAGCAAATACAGTCCAAACTGTGCATTTAATAAATAAACGTATATAAAATAACTAGTTTTTTTTAAACACAATGTTGGGTGTAGACTGAAGTCTCAGCAGTGTTAAAGCAATGACACCATGTGGTTTACTAGGGAAATCCGGGAATTGGCTGATCTCAAGGACTAGCTGTGTTTAAGCATTACATAATAGGAGTGTGTTAGTGTAACTGGTCCAAGAGATTTTGTGAAGGTCAAGAGGACTGGTGTCATATAAGAGATGAACATTAGTTGTCTGACAGAAGAACACACATCTTTGAAACATTCAGTTTATATCTTTGTCTTTCTTTTTACAAGCATGTTTTTACAATTGCGTCACTTGCCAATAAATCTCAGCAACAAACTGTGAACAGTCGAATGGTAAGAAACATATGCCTCTCATAGAGGAACAATAACAGAATTGTGCTTGTTTTTAATGCATCCTCTGCCAGCAATGGCATAATTAACAGCATAATTAAATTCAGCCTGCTGGGAAAAGCAGTTTACAAAAGTTGTTTTTACATACAAAGAGAATGTATTAAATGCAATTAAAGTGTCACATTTCTGAATACATTTTGTGAAGAACATCAAGCATAACATATGATTTTATATGATATAAAATACACTTATTATAGATACACTCACAGCTGAATAATATTTTGCTGCTACAGTGTGATTCATTAGAATGTATTTTATTCATCAAATGATGGCGACCCCTCATTAATAAAGGGACTACGACGAAAAGAAAATGAATGAATGAATTTTGCCTTTTGTGAGTCATGGTAAAAATGTTTAAGCAAAATTAACTGCATTTATGTATATACAGCGCTCAGCATAACTGAGTACACTGCATTTCGAAAATAAATATTTTCATCCAATTCTCAGTGAATATGGGTAATTTATATTGGTGCATTTGAACAAAACAGATTTATTAAACAGATATATTTATTAAAATAATATTTTTGCCACAGAAAATCTTTAGAAATGGAAAGATGATACATTTAAATTCATGCAAAATATTGCAAAAAATGACAAACCACAAAATTTCATCAACAAAATTGTATATATTTTTTGTTTCTCTTGATTTTTGCTACTTTTCAAAATTGTATTAAATATTTTTCCTTAAAATAAATTTGGGCTACTCATGTGTGAACCATAATTATAAGTTATTGTGTCAGATTAGTTTCAGATTTGGCTTCAGTACTGACTAAACTAATGTATATGCACAAATATAATATTAAAAAGCATCCTAAAGAAAATATTAATTTAAATGAGAGATTTGGGGGGGTGTACTCATATATGCTGAGCACTGTACATACTATTTGGTGTTATTTTACATTTAAATATTAAATTTGTGCATCTAAATATTGCTAGACGTCCGGAAAATCAGATGAACAATGTTGTTGCTGCATATTTCTCAATGTTTGTAATGTTTATTATAGTTTATGTAGATGCACTCTCACAGAATTATCCCAATTTTTTAATTATTAGTTCTATCCAAATAGACATTAATTTCATCTGGTGAAATTATATATTTAATATCGATATATACTGTATATAGTAGGGGAGTCACGGTGGCACAGTGGGTAGCACGATCACCTCACAGCAAGAAGGTCGCTGGTTCGAGTCTCGGCTGGGTCGGTTGGCATTTCTGTGTGGAGTTTGCATGTTCTCTCTGTGTTCTCATGGGTTTACTCCAGATGTTCCGGTTTCCCCCACAGTCTAAAGACATTCGTAGTGTATGTGTGTGAGTGAGTGTGTCTGAATGTTTCCCAGTGAGGGGTTGCAGCTGGAAGGGCATCCGCTGCGTAAAACATATGCTGGATAAGTTGGCGGTTTATTCCGCTGTGGCGACAACTGATTAATAAAAGGGACTAAGCCGAAAAGAAAATGAATGAATGAATATATATAGTAGAAAAATAAAATATCACAATGTCAGTTTTGTTCAATATTGTGCAGCCCTACCAATAATTGTATTGTTTTATATAACCATTTTAAGATTTTAAATAATAAACAGTGTATATGGTTTTACAGTCTTCTAGCGCTGTGTTGTAAATGTTAGAAATTGTTATTCAGAGAAACTCTGAGTAAATAATAAAACTGCTGTTATTCTGTTGTGTTCAGTTCAGGGAAGCTTTCCAAAAAGTTGTGCAATCACTACATTAAAACACTAAACACAATAGCATACGTAAGTGTGGATGTTATTTGGTGGCCAGAGTTTAAAGGAGATCTGAACTGTGGATTTCTAATCTCATTCTGCACTGCCAGTAATGTTCTGGGGCAGTTTCATAATATACTTATAAAAGCATGCATGCATGCAAATAATGACTTTGTCTATGCCAATATATGTTATTAAAGTCATGTTGTAGAACAACTGAAATGTCAGAGGGGTTGTTATTTACAGGTATATACATAACTGAGCATATATAAATACACCCCTCACAAATTTATCTTTTTAAATTCAGATTTTTAATAGGAAGCTCTACAATATTATTTGTGTGCATATACATTACATTTATCCATACTGAAGCCAAATCTGGAGCTTATCTAACAAAATAACTTATGATAACAGTCCAAAAACTAGTACACCCAAATTTATATGTTATAGAAAAATATTAAATACAAATTTTAAAAAAGAGAAAAAATCAAGAAAAGCAAAATAAAAAAGGAAAAATTTAGTTGAAATTTTGTTGGTTGTAATTTATTTTGCAATATTTTGCTTGAATTTAATTGTATTATCTTTCAATTTGTAAATATATTTGTTGACTAAAATATTATTTTAATAAATAAATATGTTTAATAAATCTGTTTTGGTTAAATTCACCAAATACATTGCTTATATTCACTGAGAAATGGATAAAATATTGGGATAAACTCAGGTATGCTGAGCTCTGTAGCTGATCATAAATCACCACTCAGGGGAAAATAAATAAGTAGTTTCTTGAGTTTTTGATTTTTTCTGTGTTTTGTTGAAATTCTAGACGCTCTCTTAAGGTTGTAAATCTTTCTTCTCCTTATTTGTTCCTTAGATCCGCTGTTGTGATGAAACCTTCCTGAGCCTCCTGAAGAGCTTTGAACATAAAGCAGGCCACTTCCACCTCCAACTGGAAGATTTAAAAGTCAAATAAAGGACACAACCCAACCGTAACGTATGAAAGAGCTAATATCAGACTGAGGACTTGGTTCCTCTTCATTTCGGCTACAAACACCAGCGCAGACATTTGACCCCGAATACTGGGAAACAGAATGCCAGCAAAGACACCCATCTACTTAAAGACATCGACACCAAAGCGAGGGAAGAAGCCCAAGATACGGGACGTTTTATCAGGTGATATGATAAGCCCGCCACTGGGTGATGTGCGCCACAGTGCCCATGTTGGGCCAGATGGAGAAGGGGACATGTTTGGTGATGTTGGGTTCTTGCGAGGCAAACTGGACATGCTTCCAGGTCTCAATCAAGCGCCCGGCTCCCGTTCTCACAGCATTGACAGAAGAATGGATGAGATCTTTGAGGTGAGTGGCAAAAGTCACACTTACCACCGAGGCCACCATAACTCACTCCTCAAAACCACCATCTCCATGCCGGTGTTCATGGCGCCCGTGCAGCCTCCTCCTAAACCTCCACGTCTGCATTTAGATGAGCAGCCTACTCCTGTTCACCACCAGCAGCAGAACCACCATCACAGCCCGCAGCAGCGCTCCATGTCTGTGTGTGAGGGCGGGATTGGGAAATGTCACGAGCTCACTCTGTCGGCCTCAATCCCAGTCTTGCCACACATGATGCCTTCCACGAGCTCCTTATCCGAGGCTTCATCAGACGACTCCATGTCTGAAGGCTGTGGTCCGTTAGATCCGAAGCGAGGCTTGAGTCTGGACTCTGATGCGGGACTGAGCAATGAGGACCTGCGAAGTGAACACTGCGAGTCTCCTGCTGTCTCTCCCAGCGTGTCCCGCTCAGAGTCTCTAATGGGTTTGGACCTGGATTTGGGGCCATCCATTTTGGAGGACGTTCTTAGGATCATGGACCGTTATAAGAGCATGGAGGAGAGACATGAGATATAAGGGGAATTCTTCAGATGCTAAAATATTTAATAGTGTCTAACTGCAGACTTGCATATGCAAGCTGGGACATGCAATCTCAGACACAATGCACTCAATAGAGCTAGTGACGTCTTTGTGAGGAGTAAGGGTTAAGAGCGGGGATTAGGTGTGCGCTTCAAAAGCATCGCATCCAGCTCAGTTTGCATACGTTTGAAATTGCATCATGTCTGGTGTCAGCCATCTTGGTATTCCTGTTTTAAAGAACTTTGAATGGACTGGGATGTTAGCAAAATATCTGGTTGTGCCAGTAGAGTATTTTTATCCACATGCAATTTTCTTCATTCATTCATTCATTTATTCATTTTCAACTGCTTTTCTGGGTCGCGGGGGCAGCAGCCTTAAGGTCTTCCCTCTCCCCAGACACTTCCTCCAGCTCCTCCGTGGGGATCCCGAGGCGTTCCCAGGCCAGCCAAGAGACACAGTCCCTCCAGCGTGTCCTAGGTCTTCCTCAAGGCCTCCTCCCGGTGGGACATGTCTGGAACACCTCCCTAGGTAGGTGTCCAGGAGGCATCCGAAACAGATGCCCAAGCCACCTCAGCTGACTTCTCTCGATGTGGAGGAGCAGTGGTTCTACTCCGAGCTCCTCCTGGTTGACAGAGCTCCTCACCCTATCTATAAGGGTGAACCCTGCAACCCTGCGAAGGAAACTCATTTTGGTAACTTGTATCCGAGATCTTGTCCTTTCGGTCAGGACCCAAAGCTCATGACCATAGGTAAGAGTAGGATTGTAGATTGACCGGTAAATCGAGAGCTTTGCCTTTCGACTTAGCTACTTCTTTACCACAACGGACAAGTACATTGACCGCATTACTGCTGCCGCTGCACCAATCCGCCTCTCTCATGCTCCATCCTTCCCTCACTCGTGAACAAAACCCCAAGATGCTTGAGCTCCTCTACCTGGGGTAAAGACTTTCCTCCAACCTGAAGATGGCAAAACAACTTTTTCTGGTGGAGCACCATGGCCTCGGACTTGAAAGTGCTGATTCAGATCCTAGATGCAATCATCTAAAACAGGCAATAAACTTTATAACTTCAACTCTGTCATTGTAAAAATACAGTGATCAGTTCATCTGCATAAGGTGAAGAGGTCATGACAGTAATGAACAGCATGATGAACGCTAACGCTATAACTGTGGATGGCATCACAAAAGCAGTGATGTGATGCTTTGGTCATTTTGACCCAATTGGATATGTTAAATAATCGAGCATTAAAATTTGTTTGTTTTTATATTTGATGTTACTTATTAAGCTGCGTTTTACAGGGAAGGGAATTGGGATTTTGGCTCTGTAGTTATATCAGGAAGTTTGTCATAAAGGTTTAGAAAGTATAGTTTTATTCTGTTGAGGTGAATATTGTCAAAGAATGACCCAAAATGGATTTATACAAATATTTTAATATGTCTAAACTGTGGTCTTTACCCGGCCTATGAGTACGAAGGAAATCACTTCATGAAGATGAATCTTTGTTAGGGTGAAATACTGTATATTTTATTGCATTGTAATATATGATTTAAAAATGTTTATGTAAATAAAATATATTATATAAAATATGCCCCTGTATTAATAATGAAAAATGTTCTCATTTCTTTGGTTCTTTCTCTTTTTTCCCCTCATATGTATTAAAAAATGTCATTTTAGAAGGGGGGCTTAGTAGTAGTGGCTCAGTGGTTAGCATTGTCGCCTCACAGCAAGAAGGTCGCTGGTTCGAAGCACAGCTGGGTCAGTTGGCATTTCTGTGTGGAATTTGCATGTTCTTCTCTTGTTCGCGTGGGTTTCCTCCACAGCAAGGTTATTATAGTTTTGGATTTTTTATTGGTTTTAGTTTTTATTTTGTTTTGACTTTTTGTTTTCAAAATCAGTTTTAATTAGTTTTTAGAGGTAGATTTACTAGTTTTTATTAGTTTCCATATTTTATAGTTGCTTAGTTTTGTTTATTTATTTATTTATTTTTGCACATTGGGATATTTGCTATGTACAAGATTCAAAATCAATAAATATTGTACAAAATACAATAAATATTGTAAAATAAAAACTCAACAATAATTTTTTGAAACATGTTTTCACAGGACACATGACCACTATCATCTACCACTACCACCTACTCATCTTCAAATTCAAATACAACAGCCCACAAGATAGCCTTAAGTAAAATCGTGTGCATGGCTGCCTCTAAGGTTAGACACACAGTAGTGATGGGAAGTTCAGATCTTTAATTCATTCCGCTTTAGCAACCTCTGATGAATAAAGGGACTAAGCTGAAGGAAAATGAATGAATGTAAGTTAAGTGTACTCTACTTGCTTTTCTCTTTTCTGTTTGTTTTTATTTTTTTCTTGTTTGTTTACAATGCACTCTAATTGTACCTGCTTTTCGTTTTTCTTAGCTTTTTTCATTCTTTTTTCTTTGTTTATTTAAAATACAGTATAATTTAGTGTAATCTGTGATAGGCTATATTTTTAATTGATCAAATTTTACTTTTCATGAAAAAAATACTGTTGTTTGTTTTAAAAAATCAGTCATATTTGTAGTGAAGAAAATTACAACCTACACAATTTTAGCGAAAGTTTAGTGCGGACTTCTTTTCTATATATATATTTTTTGATTAACCCCAATGGTGACAAATGTACTTCCGTCAAGGGATTGACATGACGTGCGTGTCATCCAATGAGCTGACAGGATAAGGCGGGCTTTGAAGCGAACAACCAATCAATTAAGCAAAATAGATTACGCACTTTCACTGCGACAGCGTTTTACGCTACCGAGATCGCTTGTGTACCTCGATAGAAGTCTTTTTGTGTAATGCGTTCATGACAGTTATATTAATGTGTGGAAACATACAAAACTGAATACGAGAAACACTTAAGTGCTGCAGAGAAACAATACCAGCAAACATGAAGTAAGTAAACGGTAAATTTTAACTGTTAACGTTAGCATTGCTGCAAATCTGCAGACTGGTAATGGCCCAAACCGCTGTTCATTTAACACAAGTTTTGTTTTTCCTCTAACGTTAATGTCTATTTGATCCTATTAGGCTGAATATCGACGGGTTATTAGTCTACTTTCCGTATGACTACATCTATCCCGAACAATACTCGTATATGCTTGAGCTGAAGAGGACGCTGGATGCAAAGGTATTTATACACAGACACTCATACATTAAACTAATGTTGTATCATGTAACAACATAGACCATTTTCAGGGATGTAAACCAAAACAATGGTCTCAATGTATTTCATGTTTTCCATTTGTAATGTCCATACTTTCTGAGATTTTAAAAAGAGCCATATATTGTAAAATAATGTCATGATAGCGGTTTTAACATTAAATTATGATTTAATTGTCTCATGTTACAGTTATGAAATAGTTTGAAACAAGCAGAAAATGTTCATGGGCCAAAGATATCACCACATTGAAGTGATCTATATTAACATTGTGGCTGGATGTTTTGACATAGGCCAAAAGATGCATCTATAGTTGATACACAACTAATTTAAAGTGTATTTTTTGTTCCTTCTTACAGCGTTATTTTTACAATTGAGGTAAAGTTGGTTTTATATTAGCACATTCGTTCAGTGACATGCTCCCTTTATTGTTTACCATGGTAATTTGAATATTCAGAGTGAAATCCTATTAAAGTATGACTTCAAAACAACATTAGCTATATGTTTTTAGGCAGTGAACAATGTTGTACTTTGATAGTCATGGTAATAAGATTTCCCTATTTAGAGTTTGCTAAAATATTTTTCTAAAAATATGATATTAGGGAAAAAGACTGAATGTGTGGGTATAAAACCAACTTTACTGTTTTAATTGAGATAAAGTTGGTTTTATACTCACACATTTGTTCAGTGACATGCTCCCTTTTTGTTTACCATGGTACTTTGAATATTTGGTCTGCAATCCTAGGTAAGTATGACTTCAAAACAACATTAGCAATCTTTTTTTGTATAGTGAAATGTGGTCTTAAGGTTTGCTGGTTTAAGAGTTGGTTCAGGTAAAAAGTGTAATTATAAATGTACTTACAGAATTTAATTACAGATGTAATTACATGCAGATATTTAATCAAGCATAAGTACAATGTAAAATCATATATTTACTCATTAAGTAAAGTGTAACGAATGATTCAATTTCAGTGTAAGTTCATGTTAGTAAAGGCCACTTAATATAAAGTGGGACCGAAAAATTTTCTGAAAATATTTTTAGAGAGAAAGACTGAATGTGTGAATATAAAACCAGCTTTACTCTAATATTTTTATTGAGGTAAAGTTGGTTTTATATTCGCATAATCGTTCCGTGACATCCTCCCTTTATTTTTTACCATGGTACTTTGAATATTTGGTCTAAAATCCTATGTAAGTATGACTTCAAAACAATCTTTTTTGTACAGTGAACAGTGTTGTACTTTAAAAGTCATTGGATGCTATTATGGTTTCCCTATAAATATGAATTTGCAAAGAATATTTTTCTGAAATGTATATTATTAGGGAGAAAGACCAAATGTGTGGATTTATAGGTTATCATGATGCTACTGCCCTAATTTAATTGCCCCTGGTGGGAATAATAAAGTTCACCACATCATTTTTAGTCTGATTATGAATGCATTTTTTGTAATCTCGCATTATCTGAGATGTTGGATGGGATGTTTATGTTAAACAGAGCCATGACTGAGTGAAAGTAAAAAGCAATAAAAAACAAAAAAAAATTGTTTGTCTTATGTATAGTTGTTTCATATTTTGTTTTTATTATGTGTGTAAAGGGTCATGGAGTTCTGGAGATGCCCTCAGGAACAGGAAAAACTATTTCTCTTCTTTCGCTCATCGTTGCTTACCAGAAGGTGACGGATTTTGATCGACGATTAAATATTTGAATACTTTATTAAATGACAGTCTGATGGCTTTAAAAATATCCCTGATTTATATATATAATTATATATATATATATATATATATATATATATATATATATATATATATATATATATATATATATATATATATATATATATATAATGTTTAATCTCTTACAGACTTACCCTTTAGAAGTCACCAAGCTCGTGTACTGCTCTCGCACGGTGCCTGAGATAGAGAAGGTATTTTGTTGACTGACTTGATATAGATGTTTATTACCTTTTATACATTTTTTTTTGCTTTCTAAATACACATGTCGTATGTTAATTTTTATTTTATGCATCTTTCATTTACCTGCAGGTTGTGGAGGAGCTAAGGAAACTGATGGATTATTACTCAAAGCAAACGGGAGTAAAAAACGACTTCCTCGCCCTTGCACTTTCCTCGAGGAAAAACCTGTGCATTCATCCTGAGGTAGAGGCCGCTGAATGGGCAGATTTGTCTGTGATTTCAGTAAAATCTGTGCTGTGATCTTATTAAAAAGTACTGAATGTGTGACTACAGGTGAGCTCTCTGCGTTTTGGAAAAGAAGTAGATGGAAAATGTCACAGTCTGACAGCATCGTATATTCGAGCGCAGCATCAGAGTAACCCAAATCAGCCTGTCTGCCAGTTTTATGAGGTGGGACACATTTCCTAAGCATATACAATCATGGCACAGTTTTTCTTACTTTTTATTTTATTTTTTTCTAGTGTAAAGTGTATTTTTTCTTTCTATTTTTGCTGTTTCTTTCTATATTTTAATGTTTTTTAAAAAGTATAATAATAATAAACACATTTAAACAAAAAAAAATAATGATAGCTTGAAATTGGTTCCTGTTTGCAGGAATTTGATAATGTAGGCAGACAGGTGCCCATTCCCCCTGGTATATATAATTTGGACGATCTGAAGGACTTTGGGCGTAGAAAAGGCTGGTGTCCTTACTTCCTGGCACGTTACGCAGTGAGTACTTTGCTAAGGTTAATATAATGTGCAATTGCTGTGCATGTAATTTATTTCACTCTCTCATATGTTCCTTTATTCAGCTTCTTCACGCAAACATAGTAGTGTACAGCTACCATTACTTACTAGATCCGAAAATCGCAGACTTGGTCTCGAAAGAGCTCGCAAAGAAATCAGTTGTCGTGTTCGATGAGGCTCACAACATTGGTGAGTAGCACATTTCAATATTTATCACTGTGATTTATACATCATGTGGACTAGATTATTGTTATTTAAGCTCATATTGTTTTCTTTTAGATAATGTGTGTATTGATTCCATGAGCGTCAACATCACCAGGAGGACACTGGATCGCTGCCAAACCAATGTGGAAACCCTTCAAAACACCATTAGCAGGTGTGACAAAAGAGTGGGAATTAATAAGCAACCTCTGCATTTCTTAATGCCTTTAATGTGTTTAATGTCCTGCATTCTGCTTGTTGTCTTTTAAAGAATTAAAGAAACAGATGCTGCCAAACTTCGAGAAGAATACAGAAGATTAGTCGAGGGTCTTAAAGAAGCTAATGTTGCCAGAGAAACTGACATTTATCTGTCCAATCCAGTTCTGCCTGATGAAATCCTGCAAGGTCAGATTTTGTTATCTAACAACTTACAAATCATATAGACTTTAAAAAAAAATAATAAATTAAGTGAAGTTTATTTA